GCAACAACGAAAAACAATTTTCTCACATCTTTACATGGTTGGTTGTTAATGAAAGCACAGACTCTTGCCTTCAGAACACAGGGCTCTGGAGAAAAAGCAGTGAATGCCTCAGTGGGCAGGTCTCCTCACAGGTGGAATCTCTCTCTCTCTCTCTCTCTCTCTCTCTCTCTCTCTCTCTCTCTCTCTCTCTCTCTCTCNCTCTCTCTCTCTCTCTCTCTCTCTCTCTCTCTCTCTCTCTCTCTCTCTCGGTGTGTGTGTGTGTGTGTGTGTGTGCGCGCGCGCGCGCGTGTTATGGGCAGAATCCTGGGCCTCACCCACACTAGCTGAGCTTGTATAGGACCACACACCTTGTGCTGAGAGCTGCCTAGGGAAGGCGACTGTGGTTGGGTATAAAACACAGGGCTATGGGGTAATCCCATCTGGACTTACTGTGTGACTTAAGTTGGGATAGTTAACATCTCTGTGAGTTATTATGATAACTAACTGAATTAATAATCCATGTAGAGATTTTACCACAGGGCCTGACACGCAGTAAATCCTAACAAATGACATTTATGATATTGTGACTTATTTGCATATAAAGTACAAACATATTTAAAATGTCTTATAAGTCAGCTTATGATTAAATATGAGTTTTTGACATAAAAATGACCGTAAATACCACAAGGAATAAGCTCTCTCACCTGAACATCAAGAGATTTAACATGAATACAATACTGAAAGTTCTGGCCCCGGATATTGCGTCTGGAGCAGCCAGCACTCTAGTGTGAGATCTACGATGTGTTGATGACTGGATTGAGTGGAGGGGTGTGCTGAGACCGCAACATAGGAGCTCCCCCCTTGGTACACAGCTCCCATTCTGGGATGCGGCTTTGGGTATAGTGAACCTAGCTTGTGATGCTCAGGACATGGGTTTCGGGGAAGCTCCTGGGAAAAGGCCAGCCTCAAGGCAGTCTTCGCTTTTCATGTCAGCCGAGGAAGACTAGAAGCGTCACACTGGCAATTTCTTTCAAATGATCCCTGGCATCATTCAGTTCATGACAGCTTCTTCGCAGTGGATGAACTCTCTGGCCTCCCCTAAAGCCTTTCTCAGCATGTCTGGCATTTTTGTATCTTCTTGTTAAATAAATGGCTTTACAAGGAGTTGAGAAACTGGAAAAGTTGTGTTATTCCCTGAGTCTTCACGGTCCTCACCTTGGTGACAAGGGAGGCAGGTTCAGCTGCACCTCTGGTACTGAGCTCCCTATTGGCCCAGGGCTGCCCAGAAGAAGGGAAGCTGGACAGGTTGTCATAAGGAGCTGGGTAGTCACATGACCAGAGGTTAACCTGCTAGAAGTGAAGGCATTTCACAGGCTTGGTTCTGCAGCTTCCAGTTCATAGGTGACTTACACCTACATTGATGGACAAGAGCCAATGCTAGAAGCCTCTGGGTGTAGGCCAAGTGCCTCTGAATAGAGCTGAGTGTGTCCTTCCCCCATGGAGGTGCAGTTTGCGAGGGATATGCTAATTTGAAAACATGTTCATAATCATTATACTGTATATGTTAAATATCTGAGGCCTTCATTCTTCTATTCAAACAGAAGTCCCAGGTTCTTTAATGTCCCCAAGAGCTATGCTACCCATCCCAGAATAAGCTACAGAGGGTGCTGGGTCTCTCTTTCACACATTGAAGACGGATGCCAAGGTGGCTTTCATCTCTTTGGGGATCTTTTTTTCTTCGATTTTCTACCCACTCAGTGGCTTGCAAACATATCATTCATTGGTAAGCTCTGTCATTCATGTTGACATGACAGGAGCGGCATTGACAGGCCAGTGACATGTAGGCTGTGAGTCAATTTAGCAAAGACACTAAAGAGCATGAGTAGCGTTATTAGAATACACTGTGATGCGGCTGACATGGGCAAGGTGCTAGCAGAATCTATCAGTGCAGCAGAGGCACCCAAGGAGCAGCTTTGTTGTGGGATTTGGGGGTATGAGAGGCAGGCTGGTCGACAGAGATGCCACACAAGGTTTCCAGGTCAGAGTTTCCCGGAACAGTTACAATTGGGACTTCTCATGGTTTGCAACAGCCTGGACCAGAGGCAATGGCAGTCTCGTATTGAGGCAAAATGGCTAGGAACTACCTCTGACATAAATTGGCACCTACAACTTGCAGCCAGAGATTGCAGTGGTGGTTTCTCTAATCTTGTTTAGAGGCTCCAGTTGTGTTGCTCAGAGCCCAGTCTGTCCTGTGGCAAAGCAGCCTTGTTCTCGGGTCGAATGACTCTGTCATAGCCACCATCCCAGAAACAGCTTCTGCTCAGGCTAAGGATGGGAACTAAACCGGATCTTCTCACCACCATCAGGATGGAATATGAACACGGTGATAAGAAATTCATTGAAATTGACTGTGTTGTGGAATTTAAAGTGTCCTGCCCAGGCTAGAGCTTTGGATGCCTGGTCTCATGATTGGGACATTCTTTGAAGCCTGGGAGGTCCATGAGAGGCAGAGTTGCCCTGCTTGACAAGTCATTCAATAGGGGTGACCTTTAAAGGTTCTGTGCTTCCTGATGTGAGGATCCTACATCACACATTCTATGTTTTCCCTTCCATGCTGAAACCATGAAATAGTAGAAACCCTTCCTTTCTTGGGCAGTCCCTCTTCAGTCTTCTGTCCCTCTGAGGAGAGAAGTGACAGATGCAGAAAGCATTTGTCACATGGGCTGCCCGTACATCAGATACAGGTCAGCAATGGTGTGTGCTCCACACTTCTCCACACACATCACACCCCTGTGAAACCCAGCTCCTTCTGACCCAGGCAGAAATAGTTGGTGGAATTGCTCATTGGACATTCTTAACAAGAGTTCTCACACAGACTATATCTGGTCAATGTCCTTCAGGTAAGCGTCAGTTGTTTAGCCACATCAATGCCCAAGGAGAGAAGAATTGACTTGATACCTAGGAAGAACAATCATCTGGAGGCTGGTGTGTGCTAGGCACCAGCATAGCCTTGTGTGGAGAGACTTTCATAACCATCCCCTGAGACAAATGAGTTATAGGGAAGGGGCCATAATATTGATATGGGCACTGTAAACTTAGTATACTATTTGGTTACTATATCCCTATAATCAAGCTTCTCAGAACATGATGATCCTAGTTAGTACAAAATACATTCTGATCTTTCTCTTACAGCTAAAGATAGCAATGATATGTAAATCCATATATAATGAAGGTTGACCAAGGAAACATTTCCTTTCAAGTCAAGAGGTGGACCCGGAGGAAGAAAGTCATGCAATAACATTGCAATAACAATGCAAGAAAAGAGTGAAGAGTGAATGGCCTCAACAGCGCAGAGGACCCAACCCCGCACAGGTGGCCTCCTGATATCTGTATCAAGCCTATAGCTCAAGGTCAAAACTGTGCTCTGGGTACTTGCAGCCTGGAAGTTCTCCACACTTCCATCCTTCTCCTAACTTAGAGTCGTGGAGGAAAGGTACAACTTGAACATTGATTCAACCCAAGCCTTCAGAAGTTCTGAAGTTTTTGTACACGTTTTCATGTCTATAATTCTGAGTTGGCTGTCACTACTGAAATCCTGCCCAGAAAACTTATTCTGTGATATTTCCAAGGGGACCGGAAACAGAAGTGTCAAAACTCTCACCAAAAAGCTTGCTAAAGTTCTGTCCAAGCTGGCACTCCCGGGTGGTTTGGAAAGTACAAAGCAGTGGTAGAAATGACCCCTCCCAATCCATCTGGCTTACACAACTTGAGGCGCAACTTCTGGGGTTTCAGTTTTCCCAGGCCAGGGCTTATATAGGGAACTTATGATTTTCTTTGATTGGAACATTTCCAGTTATGGTGGTATACGCCTTTAATCCTACCACTGGGAGGTAAAGGCAGGCAGGCACTGTATATTCCGGGCTAGCTTGGTCTATGTAGAGAGTTCCAGGCCAGGGCTACACAGAGAGACCCAATCTCAAAACAAGCAACAAAAACCAAAACCCTAACCAAAAACAAACAAAAGACAAAAATAAAAGAAAAACAAAAGGAAGAAGCCATCAACCAAACAAAAACAAACAAAAAGCCAGCTGGGTTTGTTAAAGTTCTTGCTGCTCTTGCAGAAGGCCCACCAGGCTGAATGCAAGGCATACACACACATGCAGGCAAAACACTGAAGCTTATAGAGTAAAAAATCATTTTTAAGGATGGGCATATGGGCAAATCCAATATCTTTCTACAAACACTGAGATTCTTGGGAGTGTTGCATTACTTACGGGTGCTTATGTGAAAGCATGATGGAGGGACTGGCCAAGTCTTTTGGGGGTACATGGAGTTTAAGTAAATATCTGTTAACTGAATATTCTCTACCTCATTGAGCAAAGAGAAGCAAACATCTATTAATTAGTTCATCAGTTTCATAATATGCAATCATGCTAGCACTTGCCCGCCAAATAAAGAATTCTTCATTATAGTCAGCCACAGTGGAATGCAGGGGCACAGAACCTCTAGAAGAAATCGCATCTATCTCTGGCACCGTGATCCTCACACACCTGTTACTGTCTCCTTAACATTTGTTACATCCATCACTGTTCCCTTGATTTTATAAGGTGGATCATTTCTCTTTAACATTCCTTGTATCTGCGTTAGTTTCTCTTTAACATTTGTGATGTCCACCCAGTGCATTGTTATCTTGCACATCTGCTAATTTCCCTTTAACACTTGGAAAGTTTCAGTGAAAAGAAGTTGTGCCGAATGAGCTACATTTCGAAGAAGAATATTTGAATAAGAAGATGTGTGGTTGTATTTGAAATATTAACGTGATTCCAAATCCAGCTATGGAAGCTTCAAAAAGAAAAGGAAATCTTTTACAACATCACTGAGCATTTCAGAATGAGAAGGGCAAGGGGGAACACTGCAAAGGATTAAGGAGATAGAAATCACCACTTCTTGAAACTTCGAGGCTACAAAGCAAAACAGCTGCATGCTTTGAGTTGCACACCTAGACCATGTCTGCAGCCTTCAGTTCTGTACGACTGCTGAGTCAGGTAAGATTGCTGGAGTAACTCAGGTGCTGAGGGAGGCTGTATGGGATGAATGAACTATGGACTCTAGCAGTGCTGGGAGGCAACAGGACCGGGCTGAGGCCACGACTGCCGTGCCCACAATAACAGCGTGGACAGACACAAACATTTAATCAGGTGTCTGGAGGTTTCTTTCCCAAGAAGCACTGTGCTCTGCTATCCCATTAAGCACTGTAAACAGAGTTTACAATTCTGATTCTGAACTTCACAGGCTTTGCTTAGCATCACGGCTCTGCTTGTTTCTCCATTCCCATGGGCTCTACTTCTCAGCTAAGGAGGGAGTTAAGAGCAACCGCACTGTGCATGTCATTTTGCAGATGTCTATTTGCAAACTGTTGTTATTACTTGTGAAAGTATCTCCATGACCAACAAAATCAAAATACCCCCAACATGGTATCATAATTTTAATTCTTTTATTATCATATACTAATGCGTGTTATCACCAAGAGACTGCTCTACCCCACTGGGGATTAGACTGTGTGTTTACTTAGTCACTGAAAAAGTTTCCTGTTCCCAGTACAGATCATGGTTTCTGATAATGGCTCTACCATACTCTGAATATTACCACACTTAAAACCCACATATTATTGTACTCTATGGGGCCTTGGGGAACTGTCCCTGAATGGGATTAGTGGCCTTACAAAAAAAATACAAGCAATCATCTTTTCCCTTCTGCTATTCATTTCCCGAGAACCCTGGCTCGAAATAATCACACCAAAACTATATTATTTGCAATACTGTTTGGCCAGTAGCTTAGGCATATTTTAGCTAGCTCTTATTTCTTAAACTAACTCATCGTCATTAATCTGTGAATTGCCATGTGGCTGTGGCTTACGGGGTAAAGTTCCATCTGGCATCCAGTGTCTGTCTCCAGTGGGGGTACATGGCTTGGCTCTGACTCTGCCTTCTCTCTCTCTCTCTCTCTCTCTCTCTCTCTCTCTCTCTCTCTCTCTCTCTCTTCTAGCTTGGCTGTATTCTGTTAAGCCATTGGCCTAAAGCAGCTTCCTTCCTAACCAATGACAATAACAGACATTGCCTATGAGCCAGGAGTCCCAGTCCTCACTAGACCCTAAATCAGCTGGCACCGTTATCTCAGAATACTCAGTGCCCAGAGCTGCGAGCAATGCCTTCCTGATATTCACAAAATACCTGGTGGTTATGTGGCTTTTCAGAGTTGTGAACAAATCTCTATTTACCTTAGGTGGATTTCTGCCGGGGGATCTAAGAAATGTACTACACCCAAGTCTAGTGCAAGGCGTCATTGAGTGTGCTGGGGTGACCTACAGGGCTATAGGTGAGGGCTCACTTCCAGGAGCATGGAGGACTTAAAGTCGGCTGCATCAGCAAAAAGTCTGCTCCATAGGGTGTCAACATGTGAAAGCCCTATCACTGGGACTTTGTATCTAGCTTGGAGGTGACTCCATTGGTGGACTCCATGTGACTCAGCTCCATGTCAAGTTTCTGTTTACTGAGCAAACTTGTTCTTGAGACAAGGGGACGGGGGCAGCCATGTCATCCCTGGCAATGCCCTTCCCAAGATAGCTATCTTCTGAAGATAACTGAGTGGAACAGAGTTTCATGAAAGACGCTGAATTTTGTACCACATTTCCTATACGATTAGTGCCATCTTGCCTCAAATTATTTAACACTGTAATTATCACACACGTTACACACAGCAGATACACATAGATTTGTGATGAAAGGATTCCATCTTGAAAATTTCCCTCAGTTCTCCTTGGTCCCATTAAATTCTTGTACCATATCCTCCTTATTTTCTCTTTAAATCTTATGTCTGACTTTTAAGAGGATATTACCACATATTAAGAAAAAATAAGATGAAAATTTAAACAAATGTGTTGTCATTTTGCTCAGTTCTCTTTGAATACTGGCTTTAGACAAAGGAAGAAAAACTGAATAATACCCTGCCACCAGAAATGTGTAACGTCATACATCAATGAGGTTCCATTTTGTGATTTCTTCCATTCATAGGACAGGTACTACTGAACCCTGTGTGTACACAGCATTCTTAGCCTGGACTCAACCTCCCCGCTGCAGACAGTTCTTCAGTAGGGCTCTTCCTCACAATCTCTCTTCTCACTGTCTGAAGCTGTGAAGAATAAAAAAAGTCTAAAAACTACTCAAGCTAGGGTGTGAGTGGGTGATAACAGCTTGAATGTATAATCCATCTCACAAGTATTTCGGTGTCAAAATGGATAAAAGCCAGAAGCAAAAACACTAAAGCCAGCACAGCATGGCTTCAGACATTATCGGATAGAGTCGGCACTGTGTGAAGAGATTGACTAGCACCCCGACTAGTGTGTGTGTGTGTGTGTGTGTGTGTGTGTGTGTGTGTGTGTGTGTGTAGCACCATTTCTTTCCAGGGCCTGGGCTTTTCGGCACTAACTGTAGTGTGCAGATTGGACTGGCAGATCTGCACAAAATGCTTGACTTGCTCAGATGCCCCTGGATGACCATCCGTTCAAGATCCTGTCACAGTATGCAAATGAGCCAAGTGAGTCCTTCAGGAGGGAGAAGAGCAGACCAAAGCCAATGTTACTCAAGGAGCTCTGAGGAGACCACAGCTGTGCTGGATAAGACAGTATTGCTCAGAGATGTAGTTTCTGTTTTCCCACCTGGAAGCCTTTGCTTCTGCTTCTTCTCCTTCTTCCTCTTCCTCTCCTCCTCTTCCTCCTTCATTTTTTTCTTCTCCTTCTCCCTCTCCTCCTCCTTCTGAATCTCCTTTTTTCTTCTTCATAAGATTTAGTTCATTTTAAATTCTCTCTCTGTGTGTGTGAAAGAGAGAGAGAGGTTGGGGGTAAATCAAATTCAGATCTCAGAAAGGAAGCTCGGATTCCCCAGAGGCTGAGTTACAGAAGGCTGTCAGCAGCCTAATGTGGATTTTGGGAGCTGAATTCAGGTCTCCAGGAAGAGTGGGGCTTCAGGTCTCCAGGAAGAGTGGGGCACACTCTATCTGGGAGCAAACTCTCTAGGCCACCATTACAGTGCCAAGGGCAACGTCTTTCATTCTCTCTGTATGACCTGTCTTTTTTTTTAAGAATTAATCTTTCATCCAAGTTTTCCTGCCTGTTCCCACTGGGTTATTAGATATTCCCTAGACTCCTTTGACCACTTGGAACCACCGAAGTATATCTCCTTTAATTGGGGGCAGTTCTTCCTGTATAGCCCAGGCTGCCCTCCAAGTATCCATCTTACCCTTCAGTTCTGTGATTGTAGGTGTGTGGCACCACCCTTGGGCCCCAAGTATATCTTATTTTAATATAGACCACATTACAGCATTAACAATTTTTTCATGCTCACCATTTCCTTGATTTTATGCACTCTGTACTTTTAGGATGTCCCTGGAACCTAAAAACTTTTAAAAAATGTCCTTTTGGAAAAAAATTATTTAATGTGTGTGTTCCTGAGCATCTGCATGTACATCGCTTGTGTTTAGATTTAAAAAACGGCTTCAAGTAAATCACATGTTTAAATCAAGAAAAGGAAATGCTAAGAATTATCATCCCTGCAGATTCTATATAAAGCAGATCTAAACAACCACACTGATTGCAGGAACCTATGTTCCAAATATTATGAGGAGTTCCATAAATGACAGTGAATTTTCAGAGGAGAGAGGAGTTCTTAAAAAAATTACTTGACATCCATGTCTTTGGAAAACGAAAGAAACATGAAATATAAGCAGGCTTCTTACAGAAATTCAGGCTGAGCTGGCAGCTGGAAGGGGGATTCTCTTAGAGCACAACTTGCTTGGTATAACGTAAACATCACTAAGACGGCAACAAGTGTAACCCTCACTTTGTCATCCAGACAGTGCCTTGGAATTCTGGAAGGAAATAAATGGCTTAGTCAAGTGCTTAATATTTGTAGTGCATGAACAGAAAAATGGCTATGCTGTGGCTATGTAGACGGTGGCTAAACTGGAGAACGTATTTCCACCTAAGGCCCTGCATTGGCTCTTTACATAGATGGCAACATTATTTTGAAAGCTTAAACAGAATGCAATGTTTGTGACCATAAACTGTTACAGTTGGGTCAGCAATCTCCTAATTTTCTAAGATGAAAACAAACTCGCTTTGCCTCCTGATTTATAGCACTCACAACTCCAGCCATCACAGGGCTGGGTAGACGTTAGGACGAGTTTTATAGCATCATCTTACAGAGTCAGGGCCAGGGAAAGATTTTTTTCATGACTTGTGTGCAAGGAGAAACTTTCCGTATGGGCTCACATCTGTTCATAGAGTTAATGGCCTGTGGATCGTAGTGTGACAGTGTGGCCTGGTGTCCACTTTGGCTTCCCATGGTGCCAACTTTGATAAATATCTTGACTCCTCATGTACATTCACTTGTTTCTCTCTGTGCATTTTCTTCTATTTACATGTGATTTCTTTTGACTTCTTCTGTAGCCTAGTATTCAGTTTTTCTATGTCATGATACTTATAGGCAAGGATTCTTGCGAAAGTGTAGTTTATATGAAGGATATTGGTAACAAATATGGTGGAGTAGATGAAATATATGTGTACACTTTCAAAGATTTACTTTTTGTGTGCTGTGTATGTATGTGTGTGTTAGTATGCATGTAAGTATGTATGCATGAGTGTAAGTGCCTGTGGAAAGCAGAACTCCTGAAGCTGGAGTCACAGGTAGATGTGAGTCACCTGACATGGTGTTGGGAACTAATATCCAGTCCACTGCAAAAATGGCAAGTGATATTAGTTACTCAGCAATATCTCCAGCTCCAAAAAATGCTATTAAAAGTTTCAAAACAAAGGTGTGAGTATCTTTTCCTCATAAGTCACAGACATTGAAGTTTCTAGTTTGCCATTGTTACTGGACTGGCATCCACAGACAAGAAAGCAATTACCATGTGTTGGAAAAAAAAGTGGAAATGAAGTACTCTGGAGAAAGTTTCAGGGAATAGTGTTTGCTTTATTTTATGTGAACAACTC